ATGCCACGGGCGTGTGGAGGTGATGCTACCGACGGAGCTGGTGATGGGGATGATGCTGTGGGTGGTGGTGGAGATGATGACACGGGCGCTGGAGGTGATGCTACCGACGGAGCTGGTGATGGGGATGATACTGTGGGTGGTGGTGGTGAGTATACAGGGGATGAAGGAGAGTGTACTGGTGGTGATGATTGAGATGACGCTATGGGTGGTGGTGGTGGTGAATTGATTGAAGGTGGTGGTTGAGATGATGATCCAGACGGTGGGGGTGGTGGTGAGTTGACTGTAGGAGGTGGAGAAGAAACCGGTGGTGGTGGTATTACTACTTGTGGAGGTGGAGATCGGAGCTCTGGTTGGGATGGCGACGGAGCAAGAGGCGGGGAGGCGAATGACTGAGGCGGTGGTGTGCTTACAGGTGGTGGTGGAGGAGAATGCACTCGTGTCACGGGTGACTCGGAATGCGGAGGTGGTGGTGGTCGTGATGTTTGGGATGACGCTACGGGTGGTGGTGGTGGTGAATTGATTGAAGGTGGGGGTTGAGATGATGATCCAGATGGTGGGGGTGGTGAGTACGGTGGAGGTTGTGATGAATGAACTGGAGGTGGTGGTGAGTTGACTGGAGGAGGTGGAGAATAGACCGGTGGAGGTGGTGATACTACTGGTGGAGGTGGAGAGCGGAGCTCTGGTTGGGATGGCGACTGAGCAAGAGGCGGAGAGGCGAATGCCTGTTGCGGTGGTGTGCTTACAGGTGGAGGAGGAGAATGCACTCGTGTCACGGGTGACTCGGAATGCGGAGCTGGTGGCGGTGAGTGCACCGGTGTCACTGGCGACTCGGAATGCTGAGGTGGCGGCGGTGACTTCGCCGGTGCCCTGGGCGTTGGAGGCTTCGGTGATGATTTTGGAGGGGTTGCTGCCACCGGCGCAGGCGATGGCTCCTGAGGTGGCGGTGTCACCGGGTTAGGTGATGCCTTCGGAGATGTTGGCGTCGCCGGCTTTGTTGAAGGTTTCGGAGACGGCGTAGCCGGCTTAGGTGAAGACTTCGGAGATGTCGGTGTGGCCGAAGAGGGAGTGGAAGAGCTCGGAGAAGACCTACATTTATCTTTGCTGCAGTCCACAGGGCGACTCAACACCCGATAACAGGTCTTCGCCGACTTCTGCCCGGGCCGCTTCTCAAGGCAATTGCCCTTGTCGTCGAAAGCGACATCAGACCCGGCCGAGGGCACGCACTCGGCGGCTTCGCCCTTGAAGTAGTTGAAGGAGAACGTGAAGTTGGTGAGGCTCGGCAAGCGACAGAGCTTCTCCGGTACCACTCCTGTGAGGACGTTGTGCGACAAGTCCAGGTCCTCCACCTTGCTCAACGCCGCAAAGCTCGTCGGGAGATCGCCGGTGAGCGAGTTCCAGCTCGCATCCAACACCGTCGCGTTGCCCAACTCCCCCACCTCGGACGGCAAGCAACCGACGAGCCCGTTGTTCAACAGTACGAGTTCGTTCAGGGTGGCTCCCATCCTTCCGGTGCTACCGGGAATGCAGCCGCCGAGCTTGTTGTTGGCCAGAACCACCACCGACGCCGTGGAGTTGCCGAAGTTGTCGGGGATGGGAGAGCTGAAACGGTTGTCGTTGAGGAAGATGGCGTCGAGGCCCTTGTCGAAGAGCTCCGGCGGGAGGGCGCCCTCGAAGTCGTTGAACCGGAGGTCGAGGTACCTTAAAGATGGTAGGCCGACGACGACCATCGGAAACGGCCCGACGAAGCGGTTGTTGCTGACGTCGAGCTCGTGGAGGAGCACGAGCCGGGAGAAGCTCTTGGGGATGATGCCGCAGAAGCGGTTGGAATTGATATGGAAGAGCGCGACCTCGGTAAGGAGGCCGAGCTCGACGGGAAGGTAGCCAGCGATGTCGGCGCCGTTCAGGTCGACGCCGGCGACGACGGTGAGCTTCGGGTCGTCGAGTGCCGGGGCGCAAAACACGCCACGGTAGCCGCACACGTCGGCGCCGACCCAGTTGCCAGTGAAGTTGGAGGGGTCGGAGTATAAGGCGTGCCGCCAGGCCTGGAGGCCGATGTAGGCGCGGCGGAGGCGGGCGTTGGGGAAGCTGAGGTCGACCTTGACGTCGAACTCGTAATCGTCGGGGAGGTCGCCGTTCTTGGACAATGCCAGGAGCTGGCGGCGGGCGATCAGGGCAGCTTCGACGCTTGAGAGAGCTAACGCGGACGACAAGGAGGAGGAGAAGAGAAGGAAGAGGAGGAGGAGAGAGCGGAGGCAGGCCTCCATGGTGGGCAGATGGTGTGGCTTCCCCGCCCTGGAAAGCCCAAGGCTGCTATAAGGGGGAGTGGGAGGTAAGAGGAGGAAGAAGGGGTTGTTATAGCTGTTGAAGCAGCGGTACGTGAACGGTTAGGCTCCTTTGTTGGAGTTAGTTTGCCTCCTTTAGGTTCGTTTTGGGCGGAGGAATTGACGGTTGGCGTGGGATGGTGACCGTTAACCCGCGAAAAAGGAGGGAAAGGTTGTAATCCCGCGTCTGTGGCTCCCATTGCCTAATTTTTTAGATTTTTTAATATAATTTATGATAAATAATAAAAATAGAATATTTTAATAGTTTTAAAGTTCAAATTATATTTTATTATGTTGATATTCTTCATTTTTATCATTTGAACTCATGAAAAATTGAGAGTTCAAAACCTCGTTTCATATAATTAAATATCTTCATATTTAATTAAGAATCTAATATTTCATTCGATATATTTAAATATCTTAAATATTGATGTGAAAGTTGAAGGTGCAAAATAATTTTCAACTTTATTCGATATAATTAAATATACTTACACATCTTATGCCCACCCAATAAAATTATAAAAGACACATCTTTACCTAATCATTGCTCCTCCTGATAATTAAGTCCCTCACCCAAACTCAATTTGTATGCATTGAATTTTTTACATTAGTTTCATATTTAAAACATTGATTGATATAACTATTGGTGAATCTTTACATTGTGATCGAGGAGTCAGCATGGCTTGGTCCAATCTCGGATATGTAATATTGCCCAAGCGGAGAATCGAGTGGAAGAAATAAACGTCAAGTCGGGTTGGGCTGCGAGCCTCACTACTTACTTCTCTATCGTAAGCCTTTACACTCAGGACAAGATCGGGAGGAGGATTTCCCGACTCAATCCCTCCGAAGTTTAAATTAGAATGGAGTGGAATGATAGGGAGTTCAATATTCCTTGGCCCTCTCATTGGTTAGAGGGTTGGCTTTTATATATGCTCTGGGGTGGTCGATCGTACGCGATCCTTTAATGGTCATCGACTCCTCGGAAGGATGACTTGTACTCTATAGACGTGTGTCGACCGACCCATACTGGTCGATGCCGTCCCGAGTTTTGCGAAACGACTCTAAGGTGTCTAGCATCACACGGGTTAGCGTTGTACGATGTCGTCTCGAGTTTTGTGGAGCAGCTCTGGGTTGTCCGGCACTAAGCGCCGACCGACCCGTATTGCTTGGCACTAAGGGGTGTCGTGTAGCACCGTCCCGAGCTTTGCGAAACTGCTCTAGGGTGTCCGACGTCGTATGGGTTGCCACACGCAATGTCGTTCGGGTTGGCACCGTCCTGAGTTTCACGGAACGACTATAGGGTGTCCGACACCGACCTATACGATGTCAAACAATGCGAAGGTCGCGTGATTGTCTCACTCCACGTCAATCCGGAGGTTCTCTGTTTGCTACCACGTGGGTGATGCCTAAATGTATCGTATCCCTGATGATATATAGGAAATCCAAATATATGATACAACAAAAAATATAAATATTTATCATATAAAATATATTTATATTTATATTGTTAATAATAAAATAAAAAATATTAGCCAGCATGAACTCATCAGGTAAGAAAACATTAATCTGGCACTACCAATCTAAAAAGCACAAAGTACAAATCTAAAATACACATTATTACACCAAACTATCGCCTAAGAACAAACTCTCTCTCTCTCTCTCTCTGATACAAACTACTTACAGAACACAGCATTAATCTGGCACTACCAACTTTCCCATGTACATATCTAAAAAGCTCATTATTACACCAAACTATCGCCTAAGAACAAAGATTATCCCCTCCTCTCT